TTCAAATCCAGTATAAAGACAGCATTTCATCTGCTCTGCCACTAGATGGAGATGCTGTTGTAAAAGCTTGAGAAAAGCCACAAACGTCACTCTCAATTTCAGCCCTTAAACATTAATTATGTGCGTCACACAATGGAAATAGTCATGCGTGTTCATAATGGGTGTAAATGCATCTGACAAACGCACACACCTCAATGTCAAACTAATATTATAAATGGCCAAATAGGTTTGTCATTACAGGGTGATGTGATGCATTGTGACACTTTATGGAAATAACTCTGCCAGGAATGGTTAACCCTTTGATTTGAAATAGGGCTTGTGTTGTCATTGCATAAAATAATTTTTTTAATGTATAAAGTATGGTCACTTTATTTCAATAGTACAATTAACAAACTATTAACTAAACCTATTAGCTCAATAAATTACTATTTAGCTGCTTATTAATAGTTAGCAAGCTAGTAGTTGGGTTTAGGCATTGGGTAGGATTAGGGAAGTTAGATCATACGTTATGAGTTCTAATAAACAGTTCATATCTTAATAATAAGTAGGTGATAGTAAATACTGTGAGTTGTTACTTAAACTAAAGTGTTGTAAAATATTAATTAAACATTTTTTTTTCTCAACCAAACCCCACTGATCTGAGATATATACTAAAAAAGGCCTCATATAAATTTATGACACTACAAAAATGAAAGTAAAGAAAACATTTTCTGTGCTGGTTAATAAAGGTGTACAGACAATTATTACATAAAAAAGGTAAACACTTTAGTATAGAAATCTAATGTCATTATTAACTAGTGAGTTATTAACTGCCTATTATGAAGATATTTTCTGTTTATTAGTACTTATAAAGTACATATTCCACAAAATCTTATTCCACATCCCTTATCCTACTCAATACCTACAGTAAGGTACAGCGTCAATAACCATTAATAATCAATAAATTAGGAGTATGTTAAGATAAAATCCAAAGAATGTTTTATTTATTATATATACATATATTCATTATATATACACACAAGTCAGAATTATTAGCTCCTCTTTGATTTTTTTTTTCTTTTTTAAATATTCGATGTTTAACAGAGCAAGGACATTTTCACAGTATGTCAGATAATATTTTTTCTTCTGGAGAAAGTCTTATTTGTTTTATTTCGGCTGGAATAAAAGCAGTTTTAAATTTTTAACACCATTTTATGGACAAAATTATTAGCCCCTTTAAGCTATATATTTTTCCAGATCGTCTACAGAACAAACCATTGTTATACAATAACTTGCCTAATTACCATAACCTGCCTAGTTTACCTAATTAAACTAGTTAAGCCTTTAAATGTCACTTTAGGTTGTATAGACGTGTCTTGAAAAATATCTAGTCAAATATTATTTACTGTCTTCATGGCAAAGATAAAATAAATCAGTTATTAGAAATGAGTTATTAAAACTATTATGATTAGAAATGTGTTGTAAAAATCTTCTCTCCGTTAAACAGAAATTGGGGGGAAAATAAACAGGGGGACTAATAATTCAGAAAGGCTAATAATTCTGACTTCAACTGTGTGTATATATATATATATATATATATATATATATATATATATATATATATATATATATATATATATATATATATATATATATACATATATATATTTTTTTTTTTATTATGCATTTTATAAGATAATAAGCTTATTAAAATAACAAACACTAAACAAAACATACTCACTTAAATAGTATGTTAATAATAACCCGACAGGTAAACTAACAGTGAGCTGTTTTAGCACTAACCCAATTTTAATGTTGCCGTATGCAAGTTTGACACACAGTGGTTAAACTAGGTATTGCATTCCTGGATCAAAACAAACCCAAACGCTGGTTGCCAGATTATCGACCAACAGGAGCGAATCTGACTATCGAGCCTAAAGGCTGATTTAAGTTGTGTTCTAAATAAAACGATTTCTTTTTCTTGCAGCTGAACAACAGAAAACTTTAACAATTATCACCTCAGGTAGACCTCAGTTTTAAAAATAAGCTTTTTAAAACTGAACTTTAAAACAGTGACCAGCCAACACATATCAGTCATTCAGCATCTACATTTAATAATGTTAACAAGGTTTAATATGTATTAATTATAATATAAACCTTATCATTTCGTTGAAGTGCAGTAAGTGCACGATTCTGTGCTTCTTTAAACTTCTGTCATGTTGTGTCTAGAGCAAACAGCCAAATTACTTATAACTGCGTATCTCCTCAGGTAATGAGTTGTTACAGTGTTACAACCTGCTCACTTAATGTTTACATTCGTAAAATTATATTATTTTCTAATTAATACCCTCATGTTGAACTCTGAATCTGTGTCTCATTTCGGAGTCTGCTACTGTCCAGAGGTCACAATTTGGCCAAGAGTGTATGCTTTGAGAGCCTTCTTGTATGAAGGAATGAAATCCTCTGTTTTCCACCAAGGCAACCCAGAGTGCTGAAATCTAATAGGCTAAAGCGACAAAAGGCGAGATAAAAGAACCAAAACAAAGGCAGCGTTCTGGCACATTACAGACATTTCCAAAGCATATCTGACTTCAGCATTGTTTATCAGATAAACAAGAATGTTCACTTAGCATGTTTCTTAAAGATTAGCAAACTTTTTTTTTACTTTTACTTTAGAAGAGTCAAAAACTTACATACAGAACATTAACCCAATCCATTGGGCCACTAAGTTTAACCCAATAATTTTAAATATAACCCAAATGGGTGAGTTGTTATGGATGCGATCCATTAAATGTTTAGATTAACCCAACATAGCAACCCAATAAAAATTATTAACCCAACGTTCCTTGAGTGTACATAATGTTTTATAATGTGAGAACTTTAATAAAGTTTGACAAAAGGGTATATTTAGCTTTTTTTTTGTATTCAATTAAATTTTTAACTATTTTAAGTGCATTTTTAAGACTTAATAGTTTCATTGATTCATCTAAAGCAGAGGTGCCTAAAGTTGTCCCATGGTAACCTTTGGTTTGGCCCGCTATCTGAAAAGAAAGGGAGAATGATAGGGAGTTGATTGGGTCGAATGCCTTTGACAGAGATCGTCATTTCCAGTTTAATGTAACCTTTAGTTTCTTTGTTTAATTGAGGGGCTAATAAAAAAAATAAAAAAAAGGCAACTAAAATTAAAAGTTGTAAAAGAATCAAACGTTTAAATTGGAAATACTACCTCTGGACAGATAGAGTACAATGCACAAGACATCGGTGAGCAGATCAAGGTAGGAGGCAGGAGCAGCTCGACTAGTGTATTCAGCATTGAACTCCATTGTGTTATAAATGGGATAGTTTATGTTTTTTACAATAATAAGTTCATTGTTTTAACCCAAACCATTGGCTCACTAAAGTTAACCCAACAAATGAAAATTATAACCCAACTAGGTGAGTTGTGATGGATGCGATCCAATAAACGTTTTGCTTAACCTAAGATAGTGACCCAGTATTTTTAACCCTTTTATTGGATAAAATTATTATCCCAACATTTTTTTAAGTGTATATAATGTTTTAATACTTTAATAAATAAAGTGTAACAGAAAAGCATATTTTAGTTTTTTTTGTATTTTATTTTATTTTTATGACACAGTATTTTTATTTATTTATTATTATTTTAAATTGATTAAAGTGCATTTTTTGAGACTTTTATTTTTATTTTATTGCTTTATCTAGAGCAGAGGTGCCCAAAGTAGGGCCTGCAGGGTAAAGTTGGCCCATGGTAACCTTTGGTTTGGCCCACCATCCTATCTGAAAAGAGAGGGAGCATGATGGGGGAGTTGATTGGAGTCGAATGCCTTTGACAGAGATCGTCATTTCCAGTTTAACATAACCTTTAGTTTCTTTGTTTAATTAAGGGGCTACAAAAAAGCCAGCTAAAATAAAATGTTGTAAATGAACCAAACTTTTAAAATGCAAATACTGCCACCTGACAGATAGAGAACAATGCACAAGACATCGGTGAGCAGATCAAGTTACAGTAGGAAGTAGGAGCAGCTCGACAAGTGTATTCAGCATTGAACTCCATGGTGTTATAAACAGGACTTTTTACGCTTTTATTATAATAAATTCATTATAAAACGTTAAAAAAAGATACTGCATCATTATTTATTGCTTTAAAGCTAAATTTTCTAGTTCTTTTTAAAAATGTAAACATATAAATAAGGAAATTACACAATGCAAATTTAATGTAATATGGTTTACAATATTCAACTTCGGCCCACAGCCCTCAGTCAAGATTAGATTTTGCCCCTTTATAAGAAAAAGTTTGGGCACCCCTGGTCTAAAGCATTGATATGATTTTATTTTGACGTTTTTTTTTATTTTTATTTAATTCTTTTCACGTGTAGAGTACAGTACAAATCCCTACTACACAGCAGTGACTTGCTATTGTTTTGGCATTAGGAGTTGCCATTATATTCACAATACTGAGACAGATTTGATGGCCTGCAGCTATAAAAGTGATTTAGCGAAACAAGCAGAGCGTAATTTGTCAAGTCAATAAAGCACACCCAAGCAAAAGTGAAAGCGATGAAGAGTGTGATGTTGAGAGATTGTGAGTTGACATTTACAACAAAGCCTTGTGAAAAAGACAGTGAAGTTCCTCAGATCCTCAACCGAATGCTTCCTGCAGGATCAGTGCTCTTAGATTAAAGTGTGTTAGTGTTTGTGTGTGTGTGTGTGTGCAGCATCCATTCAGATATTAGCAGAACATATTGCAGACTCAATTCCAAACAAATCTGATTCGACGTTATCATATCCTCTTTGCATGATGTCATCTTAAAGGAAAAGTTCAATCAGAAATGAGAGTTCTGTCATTAGGCCCACTGTTAGGCCCACTCACTTGTGTGAGTCACACTGAAAATTAATAATATTTAGGGGTTGGTGTGTGATGAGGCAGGGGAGAGAAGAGGTTTTAAGTTCTTTTAACCAAAACACAATCACACACACACACACATAGAAAGATGCACTCGTACCCCAGACAGCAGCCCTTCTGGTGGTGTAGGAGAAACGGCCTCTCCATCTTGTCCTCGAGCGCAGAGATGAGGAGACATGGTGGGCGACTCATCGATAAAGGGCATCGTTTCTGAGCCATCTTGAGACTTCCTGTCCTCCGCAGGATCTCCCTCGTAGCCATCAGTGTTGTAGTTAAAGTCTGTGATGGACAAATGAAACACAAAGATGTAAATTAGAGCAACAAGCATTACAGATGGACAGACATGCTAGTAGCTATTTAATAATAAAATATTTCAAAATAAAAAGCATGCTTGAAACGGTTGATACCGGCACTTTAACATGCTGTTATTTGTTACAGTATTTCAAATTAGATTGCGCACCACACCTACTACTTTAATTATCAATATTATTAAATTTATATTCCGCATAATATTCCGTTATAATATTACATATAGTCATAAGACAGATGCTTTTGTCCAAAATGACCTCTGTTGTTTTTATCTATGATTGTCAATTATATTTTATGCGCACACACAATTGATGTCATTTAGTAATACTGATTCACATTGCAAGATCTAAGTAAGTGAAAATATCTTAGTGACTTCTTGCCAGTATTGTACCTTAAAAAACAATAACTGGAAATCATTCATATTTTATGTGAGTTTGCTAGGTGAGGTGACATGAACATTAACATCTACTGCAATGCCAAGCAATCAGATGAGCACATATTACCAATATGATCTACATCCATTCGTCCATCTACCCTTCCATCCATCATCTGACAAACTGAATCTAGCACTGAATCTCACTGTAAATATGTGCTTCAGGACATTATTTCCTCCCCCAAAAAATGATAATACCTTGCATGTTTCAGATGGTAAATCCACTAGAGGGCGCTGTCTACATTTTTGCAAGTTTAAATTACATTACTTAGGATACGTTTTGGCGTACGTTTTAGATATACATACTTCTTGTACATGCCCACTAGAAGCAGGTGCTTGTCGTACAGATCAGCTAACAAAACACTGACCTTAAAGGCTGGTTTATACCTCTGCGTCAAGTGATCAGCAAGACCCAATGCGCCTGCCTTGCACGTGGTTGTGCATTTATTCTTCTTTGTGCTGCTTGGTTTGCTCTACAATAACACTTTCAAAATGGGAGTAGGTTTTTATGTTCGGCTGTGTCGAATTTCTTTGTGGGTGTTTTAATTTTTCTGAAAGCTACCTGAATGTATAAGCAGCTAAAACTCGCTGATTCAGAGGCGAGAACCGGCGGATGTGCAACAACATTAACCATAAGGTAAACACAAAACAACAATTTAACAATTTTGATCTAGAGCTGCTTCACGGGACTCAACACTTGTAAACACTCGCTCCAACGGGCTTTTGCGGCTCTCGGATCTGCCCACACTGGTCACAGCTACCAAGCTGACCAATCACAGAGCTTGCGCTCGTCGTCGTTGCGACATGTACTTACATTTTTTGGAAGGTGCACATCAGCATTGGCATCAGCTACAGCATACACGTGCGCTTTACGCAGAACTATAAATCAGCCTAAACCCTTCCATAAACCCAACCATTAGTGTTTTCAAAAAACAAACATACAAGAAAAGTGCACTGTTATCACAGTTGTACATGGAACTGTGCTTCACCAGACTTGAACCAGAGCCCACTGCATCACAAGTACCACACCGTACAAGCTAAGCTACCGAGCAAACTGACCACAGCAGAAAAGTTGTTCATATAGAGATAGATAAGAGAGGCAAATGTATTAAATAACACATTATAGGCACAAAGTCATTTTCTAGTATTTATTTGGTGTCGTGCAAAGAATTGCACAAAAATAATCCTTTATTTGATGATAATATATCATTAATGTGCAAAAGAACAAAAGTTGTTGGGATCAAACTCCTCCATAGCTTAAATTTTAGCTCGAAACTGCATTCAAATGTACAGTAGACTGAAACATGTATTTCTAATAAGCCTATGTTGTTAACCTCACACGTAGGCAACATAGTAAAAAATGTAAACGACAGGTCTAAGGAAGAAATGGTGACATAAACAAATAAATAGCCATCCAAAATTCAGCACTATTTTGACGGTGGACTAAATGTGTTTGATGTGTGTTGTTCGGTGAACTCTTACCTTTCAAAATAAACCGTGATGTAAAGCAATAAACGCGTGTGTGTCTTGCTATTACGATGATATGTACTTCATATTTAATAAGCATTTTCTGTACAACTTACACAAATTTAGCAAATGCATTCCTTATAAGCTTCCCATTGAAAAGCATCTAGCAGCAATGGCTGCTTGAGGGTTGTAGCTTTAGACTGATGTATAGTTTGTTGAGATTACTTATGTTCTTTTTGATGTAATCTATTTGTAAACATATCAATGTTCTGACGCTGACTATTATCTCCTTTTTTGGTACATGACACCACAAAAATTATGCTGAAAATAATACGGAGTATAATTCCCTCATAAACTTGAAAATGGCCTACAAAGGGGAGCAAAAACCTCTTGTTAAAGTGTTTATGAGTTCAGCAGTATTCACAGGAGACGTGTCTTCATTAAAATGGAAAATGCAGTGTGTTTGTGTCAAGACACACACTCCCACATGGTCAAAGAATGGCACGTAAACAAAAGTCCTGCTTGACAAGCAAACCCCGGGGGGCGGGGCCAGCCCGTCTGTCACCATGGCATTCCCTAAAGATTGCTAACGTGACGGCCAATCATAACCAACAGACCAATTATAACTCAACCTGGTCACAACGGTGTTGCTTTCCATGTGAAAACACACAAACTGGATCAAATCAAAGGTGCAAAATTCAGACTAATGCAACAAGACGAAGCATCAGTTGCACAGATCTTCTAACTGGTTTGTCTATAAAGGGGCTTGTTGTAATAGAGCAGAGGAAATAACGACTCCGTTGAGCTGCTGAGCAGGAAATTGGTTGAATGTGGGTCAACAGGCTCTCACATCCGCTCTGCCTACAGCACATGAACACAGGGTCAAAACAACCTGCACTGGCCAGAGCCAATCTACTGCAGGTCATGCTCAATATTGTGCTATTCTTACTGCCATTGCACTTTCGTATATCAATAAGGTAATAGATCACATTTAGCTATCCTCATATATTTCTGGGAATTGAAAGCTAGACATGGAAGACGCAAAACGCTGGGTTCCACACAGTTCCTTAAGGGGATTGAATATAAAACAATTAAGTTGTCCAGTGTTTCAACTCATTTTGAATAAGTAGTTTGAACAAGTCATTGTTTCAGTGAACAAATATGCACAGAATAGGTGAAATATTAATTAATTCAACATGTAAAATAAAAAAAAACATAATTTAAACATTTTTAAAGCAAATCAACATATTTTAACATTTATTTGTTCAAAATGCCATTATTGTGATGACAATTAAGCAACGTACTGCCTTGTTTTTAACGCTATATCATTAATTTATGCTGATTTACAAAAAAAGCTAATTTATTGTACATTTTATTACAATAAAATAATACAGCAATAAACTTAATGTTGTTTAAAAACTGAATAAATTGTAATTGTAATTGTAACTGACAACAATGGAAAAATACCGTTGTATGATGCATTTTGAGTACACTACTAAAAAGATTCATCAAACTGAGTGTAGCTGAGCCTTGAACGTTATCAGTAAAGCTATTCCAGAGTTTAGGAGCCATAAATGAGAAGGCTTGACCTCCTTGAGTAGAAATTGCTGTTTTGGACACAACCAGAAGCCCTGAGTTTTGAGATCTTAAAGAGCAGGTTGGATTGTAGCAAGACAGAAGACTGGTTTGCTCTTCAGTGTTTGGACTTTCAGAAGTGAAAGTAAACCACACTGAACTGAACTTAAACTCTGTAAACTGGATTGACAAAGTTTCAATTTACTAGAAGTTCTATGTAAAGCTGCTTTGACACAAATCCACGTTGTAAAAGTGCTGTCTGAGCCTCGAACATTATCAGGAAGACTATTCCAGAGTTTAGGAGCCATAAATGAGAAGTTTCAACCTCCTTTAGTAGACTTTGCTATTCTGGGTACTACCAAAACCCCTGACTTTTGAGATCTTAAGGAGCCGGTTGAATTGTAGCAAGAGAGGAGATGGATTTGCTCTTATGTGTTTGTACTTTCAGAAGTGAAAAGTAAACCACACTGAACTGAACTTCAACTCTGTAAACTGGATTGACACAGTTTCAATTTACTAGAAGTTCTATGTAAAGCTGCTTTGACACAATCCATGTTGTAAAAGTTCTGTCTGAGCCTCAAACATAATCAGGAAGGCTATTTCAGAGTTTAGGAACCATAAATGAGAAGGCTCGACCTCCTTTAGTAGACTTTGCTATTCTAGGTACTACCAACAGCCCTGTGGTTTGAGATCTTAGAGCGGGCTCGATTGTAGCGAGACAGAACATGGATTTGCTCTTCATTGTTTGGACTTTTAGCAGTGACATTTAAACCACACTAAACTGGACTAAACTGAACTTCAGCTCTGCAAACTGGACTAACGCAGTTTCAATTTACTAGAACTTCTATGTTAAGCGGCTTTGACACAATCTACATTGTAAAAGCGCTATAGAAATAAACAAAAAATCAATTAAATGCAGTAATAATACAGGTTTAGTCTTTGTTGTTAACAATAATAAAAATAAGATTAATATGTTAGTTCACGTTAACTCCCAGTGCATACATAATGCAAATTCTGAACAATTCTATAAAATATGAATTTAACAGTTACATTGATCACTAGTCATAGTTAAAAGAAGTACTCTATGAATATGAGTAGACTATATGAGTAAACACCCCCCCCCCAAAAAAAAAAGCATAAAAACACACAGACATGAGCAAAAAAACTGTCATAATGAGTCTACAGTCTTCGTATGGAAATTTCCAGCTATTTTAAATATCATATCAAAACACAAACACAGACAAAGCCTGTCTGTGTGACCGAAGTAAAACTAAACACCAAAAACACACTGATGAAGCTTTAATCTGTACTTCCTCCTTTCAAAAAAACATTATACCCCTTATAAAGCAGTAAACACGCAGCACATAGTCCTGTTTGGCCTTGATGACTGGTTAAAGTGTTTAGACAGTGTAGATGGAAAGAGAAATCGATTGGTGCGTCGGCAAACCTGAAGTGCGGCTTTGGCAGAGAGATACACAGACACACACACATTAGG